ACTAAATGGAATTTTTTTGCCAGTATCAAAGTATGACAAAAATAAGAATAGGTTTTACTCTTTCTCGCAATAAAAATCCCCCATTTAATAACCTTTCTTAATAGCACATGATCGAAGGAAAACCATTACTCAAAACGTCGCCTCTAACACATATTCTTTCCAGGTCACACAGTTGTATTGACTAATGTGTTCATTTTGTGGTTGTCTTCGCATAATCGCGTCCACCGCAGCCTCCGGTCCTTCGCAATCAGCGCTTGGGGACACAAACAACACTCTGACCATCGCCTCCTGTCTCTCGCAAAATCCCCCGCTCGTTGCACGCTCGACACCCGACCTCAGAGGACCGCCCTCACCGTCTCATCATCATCAGCATCATCGTCATCGTCGTCACAGTCGCCAGCACCGCCGCCATCTGGCTTACTGGCACACGAGAGTTCTCACCGCTCTCTCGAGGTCTCATCAGGTTCAATCTGTACCCGCAGCCACTTTAGATTTAGATTCACCCTTTTCTGCACAGCTCACGGCGAGCGCTCGGCGGATGGGCAGCCACTGGGCGTCAAACAAAGGTGTTATAGGCTGCGGGCTTGTGGGTAGCACAGGGTAAGTGTGGCAAAATGCATAGTTGTACTGCACTATCTGTGCTGCCACATCTTTGTTCTCTGCCTTCACCAACGCGCACTCACCGGCGTGGTGAAGTATGTTCAAGTAACCGCGACGATGCACGTGGCTTGGGACGGCCTTCATCCAGCAGCGGATTGACAAAGGGCTGTACGTGTGCATGCATGCTTCCTACACATCCTACTATGATGACCTCCCCATGCCCTCCCTACCCACACTGACGATGACCTCCCCATGCCCTCCCTACCCACGCTGACGATGACCTCTCAATGCCCCGTCAGCCCAGACCTCCTCGTCCTCTTCCTCTGCCCACCATCCGTGAAACGGTCAAGCGGTCGGCTCGACCTGGCCGCCCCTAGGAGGAAGCTTCGATCCGTCTCGCCGTGCCCCGGACGGTGACCCCCCCACCCCCTCCACGTGCACAGCGATCCGTTTCAGTGGAGCGGGAAATCCATTCCGTCCCATCGAGCGGTGGCGCGGTTCTGTCACGCACGTGTGGGTGCGTGAGTGTGTGTCTGTGTGTGCATGGTTGTGTGTGGGTGGGAGTGTGTGTCTGTGTGTGCATGGTTGTGTGTGGGTGGGAGTGTGTGTCTGTGTGTGCATGGTTGTGTGTGGGTGGGAGTGTGTGTCTTTGCGTGCATGGTTGTGTGTGGGTGGGAGTGTATGTCTGTGTGTGCATGGTTGTGTGTGGGTGGGAGTGTGTGTCTGTGTGTGCATGGTTGTGTGTGGGTGGGAGTGTGTGTCTGTGTGTGCATGGTTGTGTGTGGGTGGGAGTGTGTGTCTGTGTGTGCATGGTTGTGTGTGGGTGCGTGAGTGTGTGTCTGTGCGTGCATGGTTGTGTGTGGGTGGGAGTGTGTGTCTGTGCGTGCATGGTTGTGTGTGGGTGGGAGTGTGTGTCTGTGTGTGCATGGTTGTGTGTGGGTGCGTGAGTGTGTGTCTGTGCGTGCATGGTTGTGTGTGGGTGGGAGTGTGTGTCTGTGTGTGCATGGTTGTGTGTGGGTGGGAGTGTGTGTCTGTGCGTGCATGGTTGTGTGTGGGTGCGTGAGTGTGTGTCTGTGTGTGCATGGTTGTGTGTGGGTGCGTGAGTGTGTGTCTGTGCGTGCATGGTTGTGTGTGGGTGCGTGAGTGTGTGTCTGTGTGTGCATGGTTGTGTGTGGGTGCGTGAGTGTGTGTCTGTGTGTGCGTGGTTGTGTGTGGGTGCATATGTACTGATGTTGAACTTCTTTCACGCCGTACGTAGCCAAACGTGCTAAATCGGAGGTACGGGAGAAAGACAACAAACTAAAAATGCTAAAAAGCAGTTATAAAGAAAATTGTTTTCAATTCATATTTAAAAGTCCATAGCCCCAGTGGCTAGCTGACCCGTTAGTTGGCTAGCCACCTGGCTGATGGGTTGGCTATCTGCTTGGCTGACTGGTTGCCAGATGGCTGGCTTTACCGGGTGGCTGGCTAGCCAGATGGCTGGCTGACTGACCGGCTGGCTAACTGGGTGGCTGGCTAGCCAGATGGCTGGCTGACTGACCGGCTGGCTAACCGGGTGGCTGGCTAGCCAGATGGCTGGCTGACTGACCGGCTGACTAACCGGGTGGCTGGCTAACCCAGTGGCTGGCTGACTGACCGGCTGACTAACCGGGTGGCTGGCTAACCCAGTGGCTGGCTGACTGACCGGCTGACTAACCGGGTGGCTGGCTAGCCAGATGGCTGGCTGACTGACCGGCTGGCTAACCGGGTGGCTGGCTAGCCAGATGGCTGGCTGACTGACCGGCTGGCTATCTGGCTGGCTGGCTAACCCAGTGGCTGGCTGACTGGTGACTGGATAGAGCTGGCTGGTTAGGCGTCAAGCTGGCCTGATGGGTAGATACGTCGCTGGCTGTGTGACTGGATGGTAATTCGAGTTGGTTGCTAGCTAAGTCGATATATATATGGCTGGGTGTGAGTGGCTAGTTGGGTTGGCAAGCAATTGGCTGGATAGGTAGGTGGCTGGCTGGGTAGGTGGACAATCTACTGGGTGGGTAACCAGCTGGGTGGGTAGGCAGCTGGTTGCCGTGGGCGACGGTCTCACGGTCTGGACAGATGTCTTTCTTTTCCTGGATTGGTGACTGGCTGACTGTGGCAGGATGAGCTTTAGCATATAAAAGGGGGCTTACGGCGATCCAAATGGCGCCTCGTGGTACGCACGCTGAAGCAGAAACAGTGGGCACGCATCGACGACGCTGTCCAATTAATTGCAGCGGGGGGGGGGGGGGGGGCACGATTTTGTGCAAGCGCCACGGGGTTTAGCGCAGACCGTGGGGCTTTTGTTACACGGGGTGATGACTGCGCATTCTCGGCAGGGGTCAATCGTTCTCTTAGAACGCTCTCCGCTGATAATTATCCCGTAGCCCATGCAAGCCCATGCCCATTCACCGACCCATTGCGTTTGACACGGCGGCTTTTGCGACCCAATATTATCCATACATTTATATATACGCGATCTCATCCAAAAATACTACAAATAAAACTATATTATACCCATTCACATATCCATTCACGAATCCATTCACGTACCCATTCAAATACACAGTCACATAGCCATTCACATACCTATTTATGGCTTATACCACGTAAATTCACAAATAATAACCAACCCTTACCCCACGAGTTTCAACAAACACGTAAAATCGTGTAAAAAAACAGCCACCCAGCCTTTGATAAATTATGCAAATAACCATCAGCGCTTCCTGAAGGAGTGCATTGTAATCGTCTCATCTTAGGCCACCGTCAAATGTGAGCAACTGACAGCAGCAGCAGCGGCAGCGGCGGTGCTGCAGAGACAGACTGTGGACTGCTTTCATCCTAATTAGGACTCAGCAGTCCAGGCAAGTCACCAACGCTCGTATCCCACCCCAACCCAGACTAACCCATGCCCCACACCAGTGACACAAATGAATCCACTTTGACACAAACCACCGTCGCATCCAAACCTCCCTTCACCGACCCACACATACCGACATACGCCCGCCCGTATATCCTTAACACACCGTTGGGGTAAGTGCTGTTAGCGAGCACCGATGAAGGCTGGTACAGTCAACGAGGTGGTGGGTGGCCAGGCCCACGCCCGACCGCCTTTGTCTCCCCAGTGGCGATGTTTACACACCGCGACAGGTACTCGTTAGACCTAGGGGAGGCCCGGGAGCGGTTTTTAATGGTTACAATTTCCGCCGCCCGCGGGATAGCCACAGCGCTGAAGCGCGGCCAAAGGGGGCCCTTGAGGGGCGTCTGACGGCACGCACCGGGACCTCTAGATGCGGAGATTCCCACCGCAACAAAAACCACACGGACCTCGGATATAGAGACACGACGAAGCAGTGGACGAGCAGCACCATGAAGTATGGTCAAACAACCCCCCCCCCCCGTCACCTCCCATCATTTGACGTGGCGCGGGGGAGGCCTTCACCCAGCAGCACGTTGACTAAAGGGCTGTACGTTGTTTAGATGGTATGATTGTTATTATTTCTTGGTTCTTTCGGTAAAGTCACGTAGAAGGGAAGTAATGAAACAATAAAAATAAAACATAATAAAAAAAATTCTCACGACGTTTCGGCCACAACGCAAGCAGCCGTCGTGAGAATTATTTTATAATGTTTTATTTTTATTGTTTTATTACTTCCCTTCTACGTGACTTTACCGAAATAACCAAGAAGATGAATCCCTGCAGTCACGAAAGCTTTAAATCGAAATTATTTTTATTATTGAGTTGTTACTTTTTTATGGCAAAGAGCAGTATCGCCATACCAACCACTGTTGGATTTTCACAATGTGGCACTGGATTTAACAACCAGATAAGGATGATTGGTCCAGTCAACCAGATGGAGTCAAAGGTGGCGGGTTGGTGCGGCTATTGCTGCTAAAATAAAGTAATCATCTGAAGTACCTGCCGTTGGCTGATTCAGCCCATCATCCTCTCTGTGGGTTGATAAAATATGTACCATGCTGTGAGAAGTCACCAACAGGGTCGTCCTGCGGACATACTCGTCTCCACCATAGAAATGTGGAATTTACACTACTGTCTCAATGCTCCTCTGAATATGGAGAGACGTTGAAGTCTGGCTTCGATGAAAGCAGGTGATATCCTTTCTGTTTACAAAGAGTTAAGTGACAATCATCATCGCTAATACTCTGCAATACCCTTCATTTCATTAGCTGAAGGGCTATTGATATTCATTACGGCTTTAGAATGAGATTAATCTCTGTGTCATTCATTTAATCAGCAAGGAGCAAACCCTGCAAGATGAATTGCGAGCAAAACACTCCGGATCGCGAGGTCACCACGGATTACATCGCTCATGTCGCCACGTGGCTATCACTTCCTTCCTTCTGCCAAGCGGGCTCCCAACTCTCACCTGTGGAAGTGGTCGGAGGGGTTGGTGGTCGCGCTGTCGAGTCGCTGCTTGAGGGAGGCGAGCATGTCAGGGTCCTGCAGCACCTCCTGGGACACCACCAGGGGCTGACCCGCTGCAACGACAAACACCACGAGGATGAAGATCTCCCCTCCACCCCCTCCACCCCCCCCCCAAGCGCTAGCCTACGCGGAGTATTGGGGCGAGCGCTCTGAGCGAGCGGCCTATGAATTCCGGCGCGTCGCACGAGGTAGGGTGGAGGCGAGCAGTGGCTGCACTCTGCACCAGGTACTCATTTACGGCTGAGTCAGCCTAGGGGAGGCTCGTGCCACTCGTGCCAGCCGTGACCGGGAAAATAACTCGGGTCGTAGGGCAGTGCGATAACCACTAGCGTACCGCCCCTACAAAGACGCACACACAGTATAGACTGCAGGGGCAAGTTCTGTGAAACCTCTATAACACTGCACCAAACACAATGACAAACACACGGCACGCTCAGTCACATGTGCACATGTACACACACTTCCAGATGCACGCTCGTGTGCCGACGCGTCACGAAGCGCCAACGGCGGTGGAGGTGCGTCAATGTAGCCAGTGCCGGGAGGCTGTGGCCTTACCTTTCTTGTCTCCGGGGCCTTCATCCTCTTCCTCGTCCACCTCCTCATAGTCACCATCGTCAAAGCAGTCTCCTCCATCCTCGCCTTTCCTGCAACGTGCGCACGTGAGCAGTCGCTATCACGGGCGAACGGGGCTCCGAGCGTCGATGGTGGTGGTGGTGATGGTGGTGGTGGTGATGATGGTGGTGGTGGTGATGATGGTGGTGGTGGTGATGATGGTGGTAGTGGTGGTGATGGTGGTGATGATGGTGGTGGTGATGATGGTGGTGGTGGTGGTGATGATGATGGTGGTGATGATGGTGGTGGTGATGATGGTGGTGTTGATGATGGTGGTGGTGATGGTGGTGGTGGTGGTGATGATGATGATGGTGGTGGTGATGATGGTGGTGGTGGTGGTGGTGATGGTGGTAGTGGTGGTGATGATGGTGGTGGTGGTGATGATGGTGATGATGATGATAGTGGTGATGATGATGGTGGTGGTTGTGGTGGTGATGGTGGTGGTGGTGGTGATGGTGGTGTTGATGATGGTGGTGGTGATGGTGGTGGTGGTGGTGATGATGATGATGGTGGTGGTGATGGTGGTGGTGGTGATGATGGTGGTGATGATAGTGGTGGTGGTGGTGATGGTGGTTACGGCAGTCAAGGGATGGAACGCTACCAATAGAATACCCACCGACGAGATGGAGCAATTCAATCATCCATCAATCGGTCTTCATTTTACGTGGCAATAATCACCCTCAATGACGTAGTCATCGGTGCCCATTACGGCAGAGAAGGATCAGTACGTATCGAGAGTATGTATGTATGGATGTCGAACTTCTTTTGCACTGTAAGTAGCCAACCGTGCTAATGGGAGGTGCGGGGGAAGGACAACAATCTATACACAAAAAGCAGTTATAGAGAAATACGTTTTCAATTTTGACGAATTAAAAGTGCATAGCTCCAGCAATAGCCTTCCGAATATCGGAAAGGAAGAGCGTTCCAGACGGCCGCGGAAGCGCATTCGAAAGCGCCGGGCGATGCGGTTGACCCGTCTTTTGTTCGATGGCTCGCCATAGAGCAACAAGAATGAAACGAGAAATCCGTCGCGCTAACACCGACTGAGCGAAGAAAATCGTAAGGGCGCGGAAAACAAAATCAAGATCTTCTTGGTTCTTTCGGTAAAGTCACGTAGAAGGGAAATAATAACATAAAAAAAAATAAACATCATAAAATCATTCTCACGACGTTTCGGCCACAACGCAAGCAGCCGTCTTCAGGTGGAGAACAGGTCTGTCTGCCTTCTCGACAGACCTATTCTCCACCTGAAGACGGCTGCTTGCGTTGTGGCCGAAACGTCGTGAGAATTATTTTATTATGTTTTATTATTTTATTATTTTCCTTTTACGTGACTTTACCGAAAGAACCAAGAAGATGAATCCCTGCAGTCACGAAAGCTTCTAATCGAAATTCAAGATCGTGGACAGGCACCGCGTGGCCTGGTCACACTGCAGAACCGCGAGAGATGTGCACGGCTTGGAGAGGCTTTCGTCGAGCGGTGGATAGATCGTGGCTGATGATGATTATGCATCCTTGGGAATGATACGGTGCCACGTGTTCAGTTGGGTGCCCCTCTAGGAATTGGAACCTTGCCGATCACGCGGAAACTGCTGTTGCTGCTTGTTAAAGGTCCTTAGATCACAGAGACTCGTTCACGGTATCTCCTTTGAGATGTTTCCAACTTATCTTGATTTAACTTGTTTCCAATTATTTTAATTAAACGTGTTAGATTTGATTAGGAACTTCTCTTGCGCCACCTACATTCGGCTCATTACCATTCACGTTTTGCTGCAAAATGTCTCCCAAGCCTTAATAAGGGCGAGGTTTTGTCAAACATATTTTGAGTTGAACGCATTCCTCCAACAAAGCTGGTGGTAGAGACTCGTATGCAGTCCATGATGAAGAATGACAGCCGACATACTATATTATAGAACGATGATTATATGAATGGTGATTATTATTATGATGATGCAACACAGGTTATACGTTTGTCCTTAAAATGACGATGCTGATGAAGAAATGTACCATATAGAGATCACTGCAGAGTGACGATTATGGTGATGATGATAATGATACACAAACACAAAACAAAGACACCCCGGATAGCCTTAACAGATTTTGGGGGACAAGTGCTGTTAGCGAGCACACGAAGGGGTGTGTGGCCAGAACCACGGCCGCCCGCCTTTGTCTCCCTCGTGGCGATGTTTGCACACCGCACCACCAGGTACTCATTAGAGGCTGAGTCAACCTAGGGGAGGCTCAAGGACTGGTTAATATAATCGTCCCCTATGTTGGCGGCCGTGAGCGGGAATCGAACTCGGGTGGCCGGGTTCGTAGCGCAGCGCGCTAACCACGGCACTACCGCTCCAACATCAACCGCCACCCGCCACTAAGTGGCTGTGACATCACCACGGCGCTTGTGCCAGGCTATGTGCACTTTAAGGCCACACGAAGTGTCGACCACCCACTGTCTGCTGGAGGTTTCGGGACAGACCCAGGTGCCATGGGTTGACTGACTTGTGCCCCCCACATGACACATACACACAGACACGCGCGCGCACACACACACACCACAGCAATGGAATGCACTCGCGCGAGCAGCTGATGTCACCCGGTACTCACACGCTGACGTCTGCCATTCTCTGCGCGGTGTTTCCTGCAAAACAGAAGCGCACGTCATTCCACGCGAGTCACGCCATCCGGTGACAACACCTTTGCAGGAAAGCGTTTGGGGAGCGGGCTCGCTGGAACACGACCCCGACGCCTGCTGTATATTTGGAATTCGCGTGTCTCACCTCTCTCTCCCCCCCCCCCTGGATTTTTCTCCGGGTGATCTGGTTTCCCCCCCCCCCTCCCTCCACATTTAGAATCGACACGCGTTTAGAGCAGCGTTCTTCACTCATTTTCAGGATAGTGGCCACTTTCGCCGAGAAGTCATCATCAGTGTTGAGGGCCGCCACACATTTGAAACCATTGGGGTTTGACAGAACGATGGGTTTATTTTCCTCTCCGCGTGTTCTGTATTGTCAGGGGCCGCACGTCGCGGGCCGCCAGTGACCCTCGAGCCTCGCAATGAAGAACACTGGTTTAGAGTATTTGGCTGCTATAATATGTCCACGTGATAAGCCACTTCGTTGAGCTATCATTTCCTGCCTGGTATCTTCTGAAAAAGAGCTAAATTACTCAAGTGGGCCTTAGCTGGTAAAAAAAAATATGTTTTCGTTTGAGGACGTTTTAAAGCTTTACTAACGATGACCCAACTGCGGGGAGACGATGGCGCATGCGTGTTTGCAGAGTGTTGTAAAGCACGTGGACACAATTGCAAATTAGACGACCTTACCCGATTGGTGCGAGCCTGCGGCCGCCTTACTCTAGCTCCTGTGGAGGGCTTCACCGGTCGCCCCCACTGATGTCCCCCCCCCCTCTCCCCCATGTGTGCAGATACTACTGACTCTATTGTATGTTGTGGATGTAGACATATATGCCTACAAATAATCATTTGTACCTGATGATGATTGCAACACAAGCAATCATCATCAGGTACAAATGAAAGAGAAAACAAACCTAGTAAACTTAGAAATATAACGCAACACAACACAGAGAGTCGGTTAACACAACAGTCAACACCCTACCTGCTTGATTACGTTCTTCCAAAGATTGCTAAATTTGAGAGAGAGAGACAAAACACAGACACGGAGACACACAGACAGACACATAAGCAGAGCGAGATAACACAGAGACACAGAGAGAGAGAGACACAAACATAGGGACACAGAGAAACAACGTCTCTGTGTCGAGGCCTTAAATAGCGAGGGGGGGGGGGTAATACGTGACTTTACCGAAAGACCCAAAGAGTAATTCCTGCAGTCACGAAAGCTCCAGATCACTCTTGGATCAACTTTAAAACTGTTACCCCCACATCTGGGGGACGGGGGTGGGGGGGTCAACTTTCTTTAACTTTTTGATTCAGGCCTTCTGAAAGGCTCTTATAATTTAGTTGACGGACAAATTAACAAACGGAACGCCGGGCTTTTACAATTTATATAAATAAATTGCACAGCGGGACAGAACGTTAACCAACACGACTACAGCGCAGAATAATAAGTCACATCGTTAGATCCACCACCTAGGGGGAGGGGGGGTTGGTGGCAAACCGAGCACAAAGCCACTTTGGTGATCTCCCATAACTCAGAGGCCTGAACACGCCGTTAGCAGCCCAGCGGCGGCGGCCTCTGAAAGGGGTCCTCGCTCCCACGAAGCGTATCGGGGAGGAAAACATCGATAACGCGGAGGGGGAGCGATCAAGCAAGCACGGGCACTCTGCCGACTCCGCGTGCACGACAGTGGCGGTGACTCTGGGGTCGTGTGGCCCAGACAACGATGAATTCCCCCCAGCGGTGATGGATAGCCGACTTTAGTATATTATTTAATTGGAGATTTGAAGCTTTCGTGACTGCAAGGATTCATATTCTTGGGTTTTTTCGGTAAAGTCACGTAGGTTAATTTTTTTAATTTAAATTAATAAAAGTAAAATAAAAGTAAAATAATATAATATAATGAAATAATATAATATAATGAAATAATATAATAGAATAATATGATAAAATAAAATAATTTACATTTTAATTTTTTACCTACGTGACTTTACCGAAAAAACCCAAGAAGAGTTAATTGGGCTTTAGTGTGTACGTGCCGGTTTAAGCATTCTTATGTGTATATGCATTTACGCACACTTCGTCGGGGTTGTCCATCGTATCCGATGATGACCCTCCCTCCGCCTCTATTTGTGCGGCTTTGTGCGTGACTGTAAAGTCCAATCCTCGACCCACAGCGTTTGCTACAGACATAGCAGGTGTCGTCGCTGATTGGAGGTGTCGGTATGGTTCTGGCTTCACGTCTCTTAAGACGCTTCCTTTTGCGTATGCATTTACTCACACACACATTTACACACACACATTTACACACACACACACGCACTCATTCCAACACAGATGCAGTGGCTCAACAGTCTCAAGAGACAAAGATCCCCCATGTAGTCCAAAAGGCTGTTGGGGCAAGTGCTGGTAGCGAGCACATATGAAGGCCGGAAAGGCACACACGAGGAGGCGATTAGCCAGCGCAACCCGCGGCCCAGGGTGATGTTTTACACATAGTACTACCTAGGGGAAGCCGAGGACCGGTTCAGATAATCGTCACTGGTGATGACCTCAAATAATGACATGATACAAACACAGACACAATGCGCTGTCTATTCTCATCGCCACCCACTTGAGAAGACGACAAAGATGAATAAAAACATGCGTTCAGGTCTAACAACACTGCTGCCCAAGACAATGTTCAAAAACATCATCATCGTCATCATCGACAGCCAATATCTACCCACTGCCGGATGAAGGCCACCCCCCCCCCGCACTCCTGAACTTCTTTTGCACCGTACGTAGCCAACCTTGCAAATAGAAGGTGCGGGAAAAGGACCACAAATTAAACATTAAAAGCAGCTCTCAGGAAATTCGTTTTCAATCGGGATCATTTAAAAGTGCATCATAGCTCCCAGTGGCTTCCCAATATGGGAAGGAAGAGCGTTCCAGACGGCCGCAGAAGCGCCATCTAAGAGTGCGCGATGCAGTGGCCGCAGTTTTTCGATGGTTAGCCAAATGCCGCCGCTGCTAGGGTGACCGGAGTTCGCGTGGTGGTTGATGCTCCTTGACGATGTCAGCGAGGTAAATTGTAAGAGGTAAAATTTCGATTTAAAGCTTTCGTGACTGCAGGGATTCATCTTCTTGGTTTTTTCGGTAAAGTCACGTAGAAGGGAAATAATACAATAATAAAAATAAAACATAATACTTTATTATTTCCCTTCTACGTGACTTTACCGAAAGAACCAAGAAGAAAAAAAAAGTTGTAAGAGGTTGTGTATGTTTTATTATTAAAATGTTCACCCACCCGCCTCCTCGATCGAGCAGAAGCCATTTCATTTGAGCTGAACATGCTGCTCGCTCGCAATGTGTCAGGCAGGCTACAAACTACATTAAAGATACATACAAAATAGCCGTGCTACGATTCACTACTTTGCAAATGCAAATGGCTAATTATTCAAGACATTATTTGTCGAAAACGATAGGACTCCAGGTAATTCTTTAACATGCAACTTAAAGTATCTCAAAATTGTTCAATCGTGGTATAGCACTCTCAATCATCAATTACTCATAGGCGTAACGATCTGTTGATGTAGGGTGGTGCTCTGTATGTGTGGCTCTCTTGTGGACTGGATCGTTCTATTGTACAGTACTTCTATGCTCCAACTTCGATGGTCCCCAGCTGTCTTCCAAACCGACACTAACCAGCGTGCTCAAGTGTGGTCAAATAACCCCCGTGATCCACGCGGCATAGGGAGGGTCCTCATCCATCAGTGCCAAATATGACAGTACAACGTGTGCATATACTTTTCCCATGGAGGGACTGACCTCTGCCACGGTAATGTGGACTGCCCACCACCGACCCAGGTGCCACCAATGGAGATGTCCATTTGTCGATGCGTTTTCAGCGCTTCCACCGTCACGAGTTTCGACAATTCGCCCCACGTGCTCGGGGCGCTCTCGTCGGGACATTTGCTGCAGGGACATTCGGTTTGACATTTTTTCCCCCTTGACTCTTTTTTAAATCCTTTATATTAAGTTCACTTGCTTTCTTGCGCGCTTACGACCGTGCAAATCTTTCGGTCGTTTTTTAACCCACTTGTCCATAACTTTACACTTTTTAGGAAAATTTGTATTTATTTAATTACCAATTGCTTAATGGTGGCAGGCAATCATCTGACCCATAGGTGACAGCCATCTCAAGCCAGAGGACGAGAGGACTCTAGCCGCCACGCATATAAAGGATTTAGAGTGAAAAACTTTGTTTTTACGGGTTACATTTTTTATCTTACCAGGTGAGGCCCGCCGAGCTGTTACGGCTCTTTCGTCAGAAGCGACCTGGCCACGAATGACAGCTCAACGAAGGTGGCTTATCGCGTGGCAATGTATCGCAGCAGCCAAATGCTCCGCACGCGTGATGTTGATTCTCAATGTGGAGGGAACAACCGGAGGACCCGGGGGAAAAGCACGCAAACTCCAAATGTACAGCAGGCGTAAGGGTCGGGATCGAACCCACGAACTGCTGAGTGCGAGGCGAGGTAGTTAACGTCTCGCCACCGTGGCGCCTCTAAAGTTCCTGAAGGGGTGCCCGGCACGTAGAGCGAAACGTCGGACATCGTGCCGAACAACGTCGCGACGGTACCCGAAGACAAAACGCGTCGGAGAGCGCCGTGCAGCGCTGCCCCCCCCCCGACCACGCGGTAGGAGGCGAATGGAGTCCCAAGCTCGTTAAGGGCAGCGAGACACCTTGACCTCAATGTGTTTGTGAATGATTTACGCGCCGCTGCTCTTTCAAGGGACCCGCTGTTTACGCAGAGGCTACTCGCCCTAATAACGGCCTCCTTATCTCCTTGGCAATCAGTGGCTGGGCACGGCTCGCCGATGAGCCGTGGTGACCCTGGGCAGCGCTCCACGAGGACGTGCTTTGTGCCCGTGAGTCGTTGACTCTCCAATGTTGGGACGATGTTGGGTAAAAGAGATTGGGGGGGGGGGGGGTGCGGGTTGAAATGCAATCAGTGTT